TTTTTTTTTTTTTTTTACACATTATTGCACAGAGATTTCTTATCACATGTTCTTCAGTTTTTATGTCTCTTCCTAAATGTGAATAAGTGCTATGGATAAAATACAAATGTAGAAAATAACAGCAGCATGATTTGTCAAAGTTAATCCCTATAATTTAGTAGGAAAATGGCTATAAACAAAATAAGTGCTCTTTCTAAACTGTACTAAGTTTTAAAAATATTGTTTTAATGCAGTGAAGGTCCTCGAAAGCCAATTCAAAGCAATGTCGACACCCGCCCCCCACCCCCATCATTCGGAACCTGTTAGGCTTGAGTCCTCGCGTAAAAAGCTTTCTTGTTTCTTTTGGGGGTTTTGGCGAAGACCAGAACTTCCACTGCCAGACTCAACCCACCTTGAACACGGCTGAGCTCAGCTGTCCACCGGGCCTGCGGGGAGACCGGCCGCGGGCACCCCGGGCCCCCGCGGAGGCAGAGCGTCGGCGAAGCTGAGTCTACACATACACTGGCTGGCACCCTTCGGTCTGATCCCCCATATCAGAATTTTCCACGTCAGAGTCCTCGGCCTGTGAAGCGTCTGCTCCCGAAGGCTTTGGGCACCTAAAGGGGTAGCCGTTGTCGTCAAAGAACCTCCGGAAAGTGAATTCATAAAACGCGTGCTCAGGGTGTTTGTTGTTGGGAGAGGTGAGCGTGTCCCAGGCCTTAGTGCTGTCTTCACTAGCGTCGTTCCAAGGGCTCTCTTCGTCTACGGGGTCAAAGTTGGAGGTGTCCATGGGGTGGCTGATCTTGGGCACATAGGGGGCCGGCTGCTTCCGGATGTCACTGGAGAAGTCGATGGCCCCGAAGAAGGGGTGGGCCTTCAGATCGTCGGCCCCGTTCCTCCCCAGGCGCTGGTCAGCAGCACAGCACAGTTTGGTGATAAGGTCCCGGGCTTCGGCGCTCAGCTTGACCTGGGCTGGAATGTGGAGCGTGTTCTCCCAGTTTATCACCTGCAGAGACGACAGAACCAAAGTTTTCCTCTCTGTGCGCTTTTCACAGCCAACGTGAGGCCATTGTGAGACTACGTGACGAGGTGGCTTTTAAATACTTTGACCTTTGTGATGGGAGAACGATTAGAATAGGAGTACTGGCGCCACCCTGAGCAGCTGTCAAAGGCCAGTGCCGCCGAGGAGGGGGCTCACAGGCTGAGGCAGAGGGGCATGAAGCCAAATACAGACCAAAAGACACTGATTTTCTTGGATCAGGAATACACATGAGCGCGAGAATTTTGTGATTTCCATAAGAACCAAGAGTTTAACCCTCTAGGAGAATCATCACGGTTCTCATTCAGTACTTCCGGCTGAGACATGTTCAGCTGGAGTGTCAGTTAAACAAACAAACAAACAAACAAGGCAACCCTACAGAGAAGGAGAATAAAGGTGCTGGTCCTATGGCCTTCGCCTCATGTTCACAGTCAACTGCACAGACTAGCCATTGACATGTTCAGCAAATAGACTGGTTACGAAATGTGGCTACCATGAAGAGGAAACTGAAGGGCCTTCTTTATCATTTATACTCAGAATCGGGATAAAGCAAGGCCAAACTAATGGGCTTCGGGCTGGGGTGATGGAGCACTGGGTGAGGCATGGAGGTAGCTGAGTGTACGGGTGGGAGGGCTGGTCTGAACTTGAGTAGATGTTCTAGTAGAGCTAAAACTGTAAAAGTCATAGAAGAAAATGGGAAAATACTCATGACATTAGATATGGCAATGATCTCTTGGAAGACACCAAAAGCACAGGCAACAAAAAAGTACCTAAAACGGACTTCAGCAAAATTTAAAACTTTTATGCACCAAAGGACACCATGAACAGAGTGGAAAGGTAACTCCCAGAATGGGAGAATATATTTGCAAAGTGTTTCTCTGATCAGGGATTAATGCCCAGAATATATAAAGAACTCCTACAATTCAACAACAAAAACCACCTGATTTAAAAAGGGCAAAAGACTTAAATAGACATTCTCCAAAGAAGATGTACAGATGTCCAATAAGCACACGAAGAAAGGCTCAGTTGCTAATCATCAGGGAAATATAAATCAGAGCCACAATAAGATACCACCTCACACCCACAGGATGACAACTTAAAGTAAGTCGATGAAGACGGAAGAGACTGGAACCCTGTGCACTGGTGACGGACGTGTACAATCAGGCAGCCACTGTACCGAACAGTGTGGTGGTTCCTCAAAACGTTAAACACAGAATGACCCTATGATCTGGCCATCGCACTTCTGGGTATAAAGCTGCAAAATGAGAGCAGGGACGCAGATTCTTGAATACGTTCTTCGCGTTAGCCAAAAGGTAGAAACAACCCAAGTGTGTGCACCACCAGATGACGGGTAAATAAATGTGGTTTACACACACAATGGAATATTCCTCAGCCTCAGCAAGGAAGGAAGTTGTGACACATGCTACAACGTGGATGAACTCTGAAGACGTGATGCTCAGGGAAAGAAGCCAGTCGTGAAATGAGGTGCCTCGAACAGGCAACTTCCCAGAGACCAGAAGAGGGGTTACGGGGTCCGGAGGAGGCAGGAATGGGGAGCTGCTGTTTCCTGGGTACAGTTTCTGTTTGGGAGGATCAAAGTATCTGGAGATAGGTAGCGGTTAGAGTTGCACAACACTGTGAGTGCACTTAATGCCACTGGACTGTAAAATTAAAACTGGTTAAAGTGGTAAATTTTATCACAATAAAAATATTGGGTTATCATCATGCAGGCAAATTAGTAAATTAGTGGCTGGTTTGGCAATTCAATTAGGATGCAGATAATGTCAAGTTCCAATTTTATTGTTACCAGAGTGGAAACTAAGCCTTCATTTAGGGTTTTTCTAAATAAGGGATCATTAATTTAGGGTCTAACACAGACTCTGGGACACATGAATACTTCACAGAATTGTTAGTAAACACGCACGCTGGTGGGTAAGTTCAAAGAAGTACCAGGGGCGCCTGGGCGGCTCAGTCGGTAAGTGTCCGACTCTTGATTTTGGCTCAGGTCATGATCTCAAGGTCTCAAGATGGAGCCCTGCACTGGGCTGTGTGCTGGGTGTGGAGTCTGTTTAAGATTCATTCTCTCTCTCTCTCTCTCTCTCTCTCTCTCTCTCTGTCTCTCTGTTTCTCTCTGTCTCTCTGTCTCTCTCTCCCCCTCCCCTGCTCACACACACATGCTCTTTTCTCAAAAAAAAAAAAAAAAAAGAGGTTCCAAAGATTCCATCAGATTCTCAATTCAATCCTTCTTAAGTAATCAAATCATTTATATCAGAGAACAAATGGCTATCACTCCTTTTAAATGTTTGATTTTGGAACACGAGCTTTGACGCGAGCAGGAAGGGGCCGAGAGAGAACACAGGGATCAAAAGACGAGCTCAGCCACTTGAGCACAAGCCTAATGGGCTGAACTCATACCGTTGAGAATCTGACCCGGCTGAAATATGTCGGGAGTGACTCCAGTCAGAGGTCAGGTGCTCTAAGTACTGTCAATTCATAAAACTATTTAGATGAGCCTGGGTGCGGCAGCAGTGATTGCGCCTCCGACTCAGCAGTGATCCGCGATCTCGCGTGATCCTGGTCGAGTCCATTTACTGACTCTGGAGCTGATTATGCAAACCTGAGTCTGCCACGGTAATTGTGCACCCTCTCCTCGCCCCTCCGTTTCTATACTAACTTCTCTCTCTCTCTGTCCCAAAAATAAATAAACGTTGAAAAAAAAAAATTTTGGGTTTAGCCCCAGCACACTGAGAGAGAAGGCAGAGACATAACCGAGAGAAAATCAGGGAGACACCTAGAATCTGTAAACGACTTCAGAAACTCTGTCAACACAAACAATACGAGACTCAGAACCAGGACTGCCGAAGATGTGACCTGAGCCAAAGTCAGCCGCTTAACCGACTGAGCCACCCAGGCACCCCGAAAAAAAAAAAAAAATTTAAAACTATTTAGTATTAAATGATGGACAGAGAACTTAATTATTTCAAATTAATATTAGAAATACGTACTGCAAGCCTGACCGCATAGTTGATAATCTGCGGACAGATTACTGTTGATAAAACAGCCAAACAAACAACTGATTTCTTTAAATCCAGTTCCTAAAGGTTTCAGTGTCTTTCGCCCGGTAGGCACAGGTGGCGACAGAAAATGGAGGTACACGGGTCTAACGGTGCGGCTTCACTTGATTAAACGAAAATTTTATAGAGCTAATAACAGTAACACTTTGACAGCATGCAACTGACACTCCCACGCTACTCAGAATAAAAGGCCCAACGTTGGCCAGACATTCGGGGCTTCATCAGAAAGCCACGCGTGTTTGCAGCAAGCAGGTGCATGCCTCCTCCACGGGGCTGCTTAGTTCCTACCTTCAGCTGGGTCTCCGTGGGAGTCGGGGCCAAGAAGGGCGGCTGTCCCACCAGCATCTCGAAGAGAATCACGCCGACACTCCACCAGTCACAGAGCTGCGTGTACCCTGAAAGACAAGGGCTCACTCAATTCCAACACGGGCGTGGATGACTCTTAGAGAAGAATTTTGGGAAATTCTCCAATACTAATTTACTGGGAAGGGGGAAAGCGTGTTCACGCAGCATACATGTTTTGTGGCTCAGATCAGAAGGCTGGATGGGACACCTGCCAGGGACCTGACAGATTTTCTCTTATTTTCTCTCATTCGTCTGTGATACACACGGGATGCTTTTGTAATAAGACTTCTTCATCTTAAAAGATTATTATTATCGTTAGTAACATTACAACCGGGATTTTAGGTTCTTAAAGGACACAAAGACACAAATGAAAATAGTACTGACTGAAAAACAGGGCTACGCTGGTGAATGGTCAGCTGCGGCCAGTCGCGAGGGCTTCCCGGGGACGCTGGCGAAGTCAGTTTTGGAAGGAGGTGCGGGACGAGAAGAGGAAGAGGGAGAGTGCCCTTTGGCAAGGGAAACAACTGTCCCCTGAGACCCGGCATGAGGTGCTACCTGAGCCAGGCCCTTGGTCACGGAGCTCCCGAGACGCGGCAGCTGAGGCCGGGGCACCCTGCGGCTCGGACAGGACCAGCCTCACCGAGGCAGGAGGACAGGCTCATTTTTCTTCGATCTTCTCTCACTTTTCCTTCAAAGCTCTGCATCCCAGTCCCAGCTATGCTCCAGTCTCGGTGTCACCTCGTCCCCGCTAACCTGAACTGGGCCTTGGGACGTGCCGGCAGCATTTGCCAGCTCTGTTCTCCCTCCGTCCCATGCCTTCCACCCCAGCCTGGCACTGGAGGCAGGGGGGTGGGGATGGGGGAGAAGGGGAAGTCGGCCCCCTAGTTCCCAGACTCCTGCACATGTTGGGGTGCTGGAGACAGTGGGAAGGGGATGGGGGAGACACCGCCACAGGAAGGAGAGAATGAGGTTGCTGCTGGGCGGCGAGGCTGATAATCACAACCACCTCTCAAGGTAGTTCTTATGATGCCTGCGGCTCTGAGTGAGGGGCTAAGTGATTTGCCTTGGATTTCCACGGCTGACAGAGAAAACTCAGGGCCGAACAGACTCCATAGACCTGAAACCACATGTGTGAAAAGACAGGTCACCTATCTCTGGACGGATCACACTGTTGCCGTGGGCCACGCGACTGATCACAGAAAGGTTCCTCTTGTACTCAACCAAACGTCGTCGTTGGTAGAACACGGCAACCACACGGAGGCCGATCTTACTGAACACTTGTACTTTTATGCGCACCACCGTCCCCAAACGTCACCCTCCAGCGATCCTGGACTAGCAGAGAGAAGTGGAGGGAAACACTATTTGTGTTTTGACGTACCGGATCACCAGTGGAATTTGGCAGGAGCAGCTGGGAGCCTGGGCAAGGAAGAGTCAGAGCGAGAGCATGGCTCAGGCAGACCGAGAAGTGTCCGGGTGACCTCACGGTCGGTTCTTAAAAACCAGGTGCGAAGAGATTTCTCTTGGGGTCTAGATGGAAAGCCCACGCCCACTCTACACCCTACACCCACTCTATCCCTTCCCGGCCCAAGGAGGGGCTAGCGAGGTAGGCCTAATGGCGGACGTCGTCTTTCACGCTGGAAGCAAGAGCAGCCACAGAACCGACGTGCGGTGCGCTGGAGGCCTGCTTGTTAAGGAAATCGTTTCCCTCTCAGGCTTCCGTGAGAATAAACATACAACGAGACTATTCGGAGTCTCAGAAAGCTGGAGCTAGAGACTCTTAGAGGTCATGGCTGTGGCCGGAAGCGCGTACCTTTTCGCAGCAGCACTTCGGGTGCGATGTAATTTGGGGTCCCGACCAGGGAGTGGGCCAGACACCTCTGGTGCTGCTTCCGGGCTCTCTGCTCCAGCGTCTTCAGCCGGTCTCCACATCGACAGTTAGACACGTCATCCCAGAGGTCACTGGGCTCCATGCTGTCCTGTCTGATGTGGCTCCCTTTCACCCCGGAATCGGCGGCAGTCAAAGAAGAGAATAAAAACCCAGGTGAATTTGCACAATTCAACAACGCAGCAAATCCACAACTTCAAAGGGGAAAGTAATTCAGTTCAGCTCCCTGCATGTTAAGAGAAAGAATCCTCCCCAACTGCTCTGCAGGAGTGGCCTGTGATTCCTGGGTCTGAGACTCGAGCCGTGAGGAGCCGTGAGGAAACACAAACACTACGACAGAACACACGAGGGGCGCCTGAGTGGCTCAGCTGGCTAAGCATCTGACTCTTGGTTTCAGCTCAGGTCGTGATCTCACGGTTCGTGGGTTCGAGCCCCGTGTCGGGGTCTGCGCCGACAGCACAAAGCCTGCTTGGGATTCTCTTTCTCTCCCTCTCTCTTTCAAAAACAAATACGTAAACTTAAAAAAAAAAATGACAGAGGAAGCGATGACGAGCTGGGTGCTACGCGGGGTAGCTGTGTGATGCTGTGGAAGAAAGGCTCACGTAACTTGGGGACATCATGCGTAACACTCAGGCCAGTCTCAGAAGTCTACTACCTGTTGGACAGGACGTGTTTCAAGAGAACCACGGAAAAGCATGAGAGGATTTAAAAAAGATAAACAAAAGTGACTGAAATACCAGAAAATGGGAACGAATTAAACGTATAGGATTAGTTTTGAGTTAAAAAATAGAAGGGCTCTTGGCTGGCTCGGTCCATACAGCGTGCAACTCTTGATCTTGGGATTGTGAGTTCGATCTCCACGTTGGGTGTAGAGGTTACTGAGAAAAAAAAATAAGGTTAAAAAAAAGTAACAGAAGCCTGAGCCATCGCATTAAGACCACTATTTCCAGAAACTGAGCCATAAATAAGATAATGGCCAGCAGACCTACAGCAGATGGAGTTACACCCAACCTTCACCATGGACGGTGAAGTGTCATCACCTGATGCCTATAGATACATTCACGTTCGCTATTAGGACTCTTTGCGAGGTGGTGACACTTTTAAGGCTCATTTTATAAGGGCAGAGTGATGGTTCCTAACCACGTTCCCATGACACCCCGTAGACTACTGTCCTAAAAATGCTACAGTAAAACTTAAATCCGTTAACTTCAAAAAACTTCTTTTACACGTACCACGCTACTGCTTTAGGGAGAAAAGGATGTCACGCTAAGTTATATTAAACACATAATTTCAAAATGACCAGGAGCCACCGGGATGCGAAACAGCGGCCTGAGTTTGGTCCTATCTAGATGTAGAAGGTGGGTGCGGCGTATCTGGGACAATACCTTTCTGGTAGTATTTGGAATTGTGAGTCCACCTGAACCCAGTGCAGAGGCCAAAATCCGTCAGTTTGATGTGACCATCGAGATCTATCAGAATGTTGTCTGGCTTGATGTCTCGGTGGATGAAGCCCATCTTGTGGACGCTCTCAATGGCCAGGGTCAACTCTGCGATGTAGAACCGGGCCAGGTGCTCGGGGAAGACCTCCATCCGGATCAGCAGGCTCATCATGTCCCCCCCCGGGATGTAGTCCATCACAAAGTACAGGCTGTCCTTGTCTTGGAAGGAATAGTAGAGCTTGACCACCCACTCGTTGTCTGCCTCAGCCAGGATGTCCCTCTCGGCCTTGACGTGGGCCACCTGATTCCGGTTCAGGACGTCCTTCTTCCTGAGGGTCTTCATGGCGTAGAGGGCGTGCGTGTCCACCTTACAAGCAAGGCACACTTCTCCAAAGGCACCGATCCCCAGGGTTTTGATTTTCACAAACATGGACTTATCCATTTTGGCCCTCTTCAGCCTGTTGTAGTTAGATTCCTTCTGGTAGAGGATCTTCCTCATCTGCGCCTGTTCAGCTTCACAGAGTCCAGCCTGTAGAGAAGGGGAACAAGGAAGTCACGTCAGAGGAGCCCACGGGAGGAAACAGCCAGGGCGGGAGGCAGCTGAGAACCGCGAGGGTCCTGACTCGACCTACGGAACCAAGAACACATATGGGTCCAGTATGCTACAAGCAAGACAACAACTGGGTTTGCTCTTCATCTACTTATGTACACACAAATCTGGACTCTAAAGGCAGGACAAAACCGGTGACTTTAGGCTCTCAGGAAACCTCTATAAACAAACGCCGGTGGAAAAGGAGACCACAACACTCCCGGGACTCTCCGCGCAATCTAATATTTTAACAGCTCAGGGAAAATGGGAACAAAGAAAAGTCAACGAAAATGGGGCAGCAGAAAGTGAGAGCACAGATCTGATTTTTAGAACTTGAAATCGCTGGCTTCGGGTGATTTAAATTTACTGTAAGATTTTAATTTAAATCATTTCATTAATTACCTTCTCTAGCAGTTTAGTGTCAACTAAGGTATATTTAAAATACTATTTGCTGGGGCGCCTGGGTGGCTCAGCCGGTTGAGTGTGACTTTTGATTTCGGCTCGGTCATAATCCCAAAGTTGTGGGATTCAGCCCCGCTTTAGGCTGCGCACGGAGCACGGGGCCTGCTTCGGATTCCCTCTCGCCCCCTCTGCCCCTCCCCTGCTTGCACGTGTACGCACGCTCTCCCACTCTCTCTCTCAAAAAATAAAATAAAATGAGTAAAAGTAAAACAAATAAGTAAAATAAAATGAAATGAAAGAAAATGAAATAAAAATATCGCCGTGGTCACGTGCCCACCGGCTGCGTCAGGCGCAGTGCTCACGGCCCCCCTACAGAGCCGGGGGGTACCCGTGAGGGAGCCTGCACCATCGGCCATCCCTCCAAGTCGCTGGCCCCATAACCACACCATCGCCCGGGGATGCGAACCGTTCGTAATAACCGGGGCAAAGCAGAAGCAAAACAGAGGTTCCGCTGCGAGCGCCACCGCCAATTTAGAGAAGAGCCGGGCCCGGCGGCGGGAACACGAGGAGAGCTTACTTTCGCCATTTCCTGCTCCAGCTGCAGCCTCCGGTTGACCTTCTGCTGGTAGGTTTTTATGACATTCTCCACGTGCTGCTCCATGAAGAACTTGAACGCATACGGTGAGTAGCTCTTGATGCGCGACTCCCTCTTCTCCTCGTCCCTGCTGGCTTTCCGGACGGGGACAGGAGAGGTCTGGATCTGCTTTTTATCCTTCCCCGGCCTCTCCCCTTTGGCGCCTTTGTGGCTCTTGTCGCTCCGGTCGGCGGGCTCGGCGGCCGGGCCCCCCCGGAGGCTCTGCTCCACGCCGGCGCACAGGCCGTCCACGTCGTACTGCTCGGACTTGCTGTGCAGCAGCAGGTGCTTGGGGTACGGCGGGGGCGGGCACCTCAGGTCCGGGCCGCCGTACTCCACGTCCAGCGGGTACGCACCGGCGCCCCCCAGCGGCAGGGAGTGCTCGTCCTTCGAGTCCAGACTCTCCACCCCGGCCGCGGGCGCGGGCGCGGGCACCCAGGCCGGGTGCGAGGGCCCCACGGCCGTCTGGGGCTCGGGCCGCATCACCCTCACGCTCTTGACCGGGTGCAGGATGTGGGCGGCCGTCACGGCCGTGATGGTGTTGGGGGAGGGCACGGAGGGCTCCGTCTTGCCGGGCACGCCCGCCCGCATGGGCACGGCCACGGGCGGCTGGTGGCTGTTGAAGGAGTTGGTCCTGCTGGGGACCGGGCCTTCGGGCAGGAAGGCCACGTGCTGGCGGGGGGGTGCCTCCAGGCCCGGCTTCTGCAGAGAGTCGCGGCGGGACAGGGTGGAGGCCTGCCACTGCTGGACGGGGGCGCCGCTCAGGTCGTACAGGTCCACGTTGAGGCTGTTCCTGGAGGGCGCCATCAGACTCTGCGGGGGGCTGTCGCTGGCGAACACCTGGCCCCGGGAGCCCATCACGTGCACCTGGTGGGCCTGCTTGTGGTGCGGGTGGGGCAGGTACAGACCGGCCGCGGCTCCCGCGGCCGGAAACGCGTGGCCGGCGCCCGGCTGCACCTGCACCTGCACCGCGGGGCCCTTGGCGGCCGGGCTCGCGTACGCTCCCGCCTCCTTGTTTTGGAAGGAGGGGCTGCGCTGCAGGCCGTAGCCCAGCGGCTCCCCCGGCACCAGCAGGTGCGGCCTGTAGGGGGGGCCTTGCAGCGGGAGGGCTTGGCCCGCCGGCGCGGCCACCGGGAAGCTCATCCCCGCGGACTCCAGGTTGGCCGCGTAGCCTTTGGGCTGGTGCTGATGGCCGCCGGGCACGCTGCGAGCGCTTCCGGAGAAAAGAAAGTCCATGTACTGCCGGGGCACCTCCTCCAGCGGACCGCTGCCCTCGTAGGCTGCCCCGCTCATCTGATGGTAGGGCGGGAAGGGGTCGCCTGTTCCTTCGAAGCTCGGCCTCCGCGGCCCGGGGGCCGGCGCGATGCCCTTCCCTGCAGCGGAGAGAACGCGGACACGGCGTTAGAGGGGAACGGCTCTCGCGGGCTGGCTCCCGGCGCTGGCCGCGTCCTTGGGGGCGGACGCCGCTGCGCAGGCTCTTCCACCGCTCGAGGCCGCCCGACGCAGGCTGAACTCTGCTCTGGCAAACCCGGGCTGCCTTGTGGGTCAGAGCCCCTCGCGGGGGGACCCGGCAGAGCCCACAACCTGTCTTCCTGGGCTAAGAACATGTGTCAAAGGCACACGTAGGAGGGAATCGTTACAGATGTGGGTCTGCAGTTTCCCTTTGGGGCTCTGCGGCAACACAGACCCTGGGACTCCAAGAATCTGGAAATGGACTGCCAGCAGGCAGCAGTTTAATACGAGCCTCCTATCAACGAGAAAACAAAAGTTTACCAACGAAGACACAACTTCTCACTCGACAGACGAAGTGGGAAAGCTCCTTTGGCTGAATGTCGTGAGTCCCTTATCACACTCAGGACCTCAGCTACCAAAAATTCTCCCATCTGTCCATCCTCTAAGAGGAACATTCACTGACAGCCAGTGAGGTAGAGCATTTGGTGCTGGTGCCTCTGGCCCTTCCCGGGGGACACTAAGGGGGCTGTCCCAGCGCCACTGCCCGTGGCATCCAGCCCAGGGAGGCGCCTGCCAGCCTGCTCTGAGGCTCCGGTGTGAGAAAAGGCGGGTTTTAAAAATCCGTGAAATAAACCTTCCTTTCAATAAACAGACTCCCTCACAGGCCCAAGAGAAAGTAAAAAGCCCACTTTAGATCTCACTCTGCGCGTTGCCTAACTTTAATATCCACTGAGTTTTCCAATCTCTGTAACACGAAACCTGTCCGCAGCCACCGGCCGCAGGAAGTACCACAGGTTACTTCACACGGGGACAGGGAGCACCCAGGGAAGTCCTAGGATCTGCCCCTGCTGCCTCCCCTTCTAGGCCCTGAGTGCAGAGCAGGGCAACGTGCCAAGAGATAATCTGCTGACCAGGGCCACACTGAACCTCCCTTCCTGCAAACGGATTTGTGCTTTTCGAGGGCAAATCTTCCTCCCCCAGGGCTGCGGGTCTGAGCTCACCTGGGGAGGTCTGCTTAATGACTCGCACAATCTGCTCATTCCTGGGGTCCAGGTAGCCCATCTTGCTGATGTACTCCAGGGCAGCTTCGATGCTCCGGCTGCCAGTCTGCTTCAGAGCCCTGCCGGCCATCTCCTGGGGGGGGGGGGGGGGGGAGCACACAGATGCTTCACTGGGAGGTACAAACGCATGACATCTTCCCACAAAGCCCCTCGGGGACTTCCGATGCTGCAATGTTCACCTCTCTGTGCCTGCTGGGGGCCTGCACCGTGAAATGTCTGCATGAGATGCCCTCAGGTGCCCACGACAAACGCTTAACACACACTGAACCACAGGCTATAGAGAGTATGTGACGAACAAACAGGTGTTCTGATGGTGGACCAGAAAGAATCTAAGTTCTGCTTCTCCTTAGAAAACTTCCGGTTGGACTGATAAGTTCTGCTCTGTGAGTAAACCTATGACTAGAACAGTTTAACGTGAAAACTAATTGAAGTCAGGGACCCTGGCTGCAGCTCCAGCCCACCCGCAGGCTAACTGGGAGAGGGACTGACCCGCCCCCAGGGAGGGGAGGGTTGCTAGAGTCATTTATGAAGAGCTGGCTGAAGGCCTACTGTTCGCAGTGCCCAGTGCTCGCTCTGGTAGTTGGGAACTTGCGGCTGGGCTCCTGGTCTAGTGGGAGAAAGAGAGACAGACCCCGAAAGAGCCCTTGGAGCAGTGCCCAGCACAGGACACGGCCTCCGAAAACTGCCTGCGAGATGAACAGGAGACAAGCTGGACCCACCATGGGAGACACAGCAGACAAGGGTCGGGGAATAGGAAAGAGGGTCAGAGGAGACGGATTCTTCCGGCTCAGAGCGAGGGCACCAGGGACTGACTGTTTGTGGAACAGACGGCAATACACCTGGCTCCCCAAGGTCGGCCCGAAATTGGGCAGATGGAAGGCACAGCAGAGGAAAGGTATTCTTGGCAGGTGGAAGCGTCAAAGCAGCAGAGGCCTGGGGCGGGGGTGTGGGGGGGGGGGGGGGGGGGGGGGGGGGGTTGCGTGGAGAACAGGCTGAGGGGCAAGCAGGGACATGAGAGACAGCAGAGAGGGAGCCACAGGCTGGGCCTGACTGTCCCCGGGTTTTGGCCCTCTTGGAAGGCAGGGACACGGAGCCACGAGATCGGTTTGGGGCAGAACTGGAGGCGTAAGACAGGCCAGAGTGCACGGGAGGCAGGAGAGAACACGCACCTGTGAGTCGGCTCAGCAGGGCTGTGGGCAAACAGGATGGACGGGACAGGAGAGAGAACGCCTCCTGGAGACAAGGGCGGAACACACAGAGGGGGTCTCAGGGGCGGGAGAGCATGGCCAAGGGGACCCCGTGGCTCAGACAGGAGAGAAAAGGGCTGAGGGTGCAGGAAGACCCCAGGACAGTGAGAAGGCAGCTTGGGGCTGTTCTGGGCAGAGAGCGGCTGTGCTGGCCAAGGGCCACTCTGGAGAAACAGCACTTGTCCCCGACACCGAGAATGCACCAGTCTCCCTGCCCTCCGAGCCAAGCATTGTCCAGGCTGACTCGGATCTGTGCTCCTGCCGGCCCCGGGAATGAGGCATCACACACCCGTGACCTTTACCGGCCCCATCTGTCTGTCCGAATGTCTGCCTCCTCCTCTAGGACCGGGAGAACCCGCTGGGGCCTGGATTCCACGTCACTCGTGGCTGTAGCCACCCGCTCAACGCATCAGCCGGGACGACGTGAGTGTTTGCCTAACAGCAAAATCAAGTTTCCCGTTCCTGGCCATATCCCCAGCGCGTGGCAGGACAAAACACGTTGGCTGTAACCTGTGCCTACGTTCTTGGTGATGCCAAGAGACTCGGCAAGACAGCGGGGGGAGGGAGGGGCCGAGACGGGGGGCCCAGCGAGGCCGTGCCGGAGAGCAGGACGGGCAGTGGGACGTGTGGGTGCGTGTGAGGGGGCCACGTCCGGGGCCGAGGGGCCCAAAGAGACATGGCGAGGCAGACGGGGCCACGGCAGTAAGGACAGAGCTCCCGGTTTAGAAGCAGAGCTCGGACCGACAGAGCGAGTGCCTGACGTGCGGCGGGGCTGCGGAGAGAGAGGTGCAGGGGTGAGCACAGCGATGCCCACCTGCAGATGGGAGGCAACGCTGCACCCCCCCCCCCCACCTCACAGCTCTGTTATGCGATGAGGTCATGGCTGCAGAGAGCTCTCGGCGGCTTGGAGAGAGACACGGTATAGGGCCACATCTTCTCAGGATGACCCTGGAGCTCTTGGCACCCATTTAAAAACTGGGGGAGCCGACCCCAACCGCAGCCCTTCGGTCAGCACCGACCGCGCCACCTGCCGGGTCTGAAGCGCGGGCGCCGGCTCCCGCGCCCTTCGGGGGGACCCCAGACACGCGCACCACCTCGGTGCCTGCCCGTCGACCGAGTCCAAATGAACAGCTTCTCCACCTCTGCCCGTTGCCCGGGCACTCGCGACTCCCACGTTTACATGTTTACTGAGCTCTGAATCCAGGAACTTAACCGAGCAAGATCAACGGGAGACCACAAACGACGACTGTGGTCACAGCAGTGCTTCAGCTCGTAAAGCCCAAGCGACACGATGAGACAACTTGCTTGTCAAGAACCACCGAATAATCCAGCTCGGCTGTGTCCCGTCCTCGACGTCTGCTCCCCGTGCTCACCTAGCAGGTCAGTGGTGCCTCGACATCAACTCTCGGAGACGCCACCGTGCGTGCACGTATCGCTAGGTCCCACGGCTGCGGGAGATCCAGGGTCATTTCCGAACCCACCGGGAACACGCGCGCTGTCTCTCCTCCAGCCTCACCGTCAGCCGCGGACTGCGAACAGACCCCCGCAGACGCCAGTCAGAGAGCACTGAACGCAGCCACCGGCATCGCCTGCTGCCTGCGCGGTCGCTCTGGTGACCTCTCGCCCGCTCCAGGGGACTCCGGTTCTCAGACATCAGGCCGGCAGCTTGGAACGTCGCCACGGGCAGTGGCCCCGGGGCTGCGTGGGGAGAGGTGCAGGGAGAGGGGAGGGACGGGCTGCCTGGTGGGAGAAGGCCTGGGCCTCTGCCCTACAGGTCGGATGCCCCTCCTGGCACAGGTCAGCGGGTATAATGGAGCCAAGGGGCCATTACATACAGCATTTCTTTTTCTGTTTCCTTTTTTGGTTTCAGGAGTAGAATCCAGCGACTCATCACTTACACACAACACCCAGTGCTCTGCCCCACAAGCGCCCTCCTTAATGCCCGTCAGCCGTCTAGACACCCCCCCCATAACCCTGTTTTTTTCTCTCGAGCTAAGAGTCTCTTATGGTTTGCTTCCCTCTCTGCTTTTATTTTGTTTTTCCTTCTCTTCCCCTATTTTCATCTGTTGTATTTCTTAAATTCCACACGGGTGAAATCATACAGTATTTTTCTTTCTCTGCCTGACTTATTTCGCTTAGCATAACACACGCTAGCTCCATATACGTCGCTGCAAATGGCAAGATTTTATTTTTTTGATGGCTCAGTAGTACTCCCGTGTATATATAAACCACATTTGCTTTATCCATTCATCAGTTCATGGGCACTTGGGCTCTTTCCCTAATTTGGCTATTGTTGGAAGTGCTGCTATAAACCTTGGGGTGCATGCACCCTCTTCAAGTCTAGATTTTTGTATCCTTTGGATATATACCAAGTCATGCAATTGCTGGGTCATAGGGCAGTTCTCTCTTTAACTTTCTGAGGAGCCTCCACACTGTCTTCCAGGGTGGCTGCACCAGTTTGCATTCCACCAACAGCAGACCAAAGTGCCCCCAAGAATGCCCAAATCCTGCCCCAGCGCTTGGGCACTTCTCCGGGACGGTACGCGCTCAAACATCAGCATATTGCGCGCCAGGTGCCTGCACCTCCAAGCATCCTGCACGGGCTGGCGCACACGGGCCCTCCTTGACCCTTCCTCCCGCAGCACACACGCATGTCCCAGGGGCCTCTGAACTGTGTCTTCCTCTTTCCTGTCCCCACGCCACCCCTGCGCCCCACCCCACGTGCTCCTCCATCCCTCGTGCTCCTATTACCGATCCGCCCCGGGACAGATATAAAGGCATAAAGCGCAAGGCTTTACGCTTTGTTCTTCTTCCCATAATTCTAAAGAGGAAGGGAACGCGTTCTTTTCACCAAGTCTCGACGG